TTGCATGCTTTGTAAGATTGAAGTTGTAAAGATTGGTTACAAGTCTGTAACTGCTTCCAAGCAGCAGATTTAGAGGGAGACATTAGGAAGGAATCAAGTGCAAAGTGACACTTCATTTGAAGATTCTGAAAGGTTTAGTTCACAAGTAAATAAGATTCTCCTATATGCTCTATTTCTGAGGAAGAAGTCAGGTGTGATAATGGAGGAGTTTACATGTACCAAATTGTACTGCTTTTAGCTAGTCGGTAAAAAGGCAGACATCGCGTCAGCTTGTGTATGTATTTATGGCTCACGGAGAGAGCGAAGAGATTTTGAGATTCAGTCAGCATGCATGGCATTCATGTGCAGATATTTTACTTCTTTTTTGGCAGTGAAGGTTTGCTCCACTCAGCAGGCATGTATGCTTTGCAGCGCTGCTGAATTGACCTGTGACGTGAAGAAATTAGCCTCAATTGAACAGCAGCAAAATATGGGAGGGTAAAAAAAAAATCAATCTTCATTTTGTCCTTGTGAGTGTAGTCACGCTCGCTCACTGCACCGGTAGGGTACTTGTACAGGTACAACAGTGAAAAATAATTCACATGTATACTGGAACGTGTAAAAACTTGGCTTCCGAACCTGAAGTCTTCTTCCATTGTTAGTTTTAAGAAAATTCTTCCATCGTTCTGTCTCAACTGGCAGCTGTTTGCATCTATGCATCGGAAAAACTTTTTATGTAAGATTCAGAAGCATGCAAGTAATGAAGATATATGAGAATCGTGCCTGGGTCTACAGTCATCTCTGTCCGCTCCGATCCATCATTCTGTTCAGTGGTAATCCTAATCCTATGGCATGCCACCCCATTCGCAACTCCTACATGTACTGCTTTCCTGATCCCATTGCCGGTACAACGGTAGAGCTACAAACCTGGTACAACCAACCTTCTCTCTCACAAAAGTCCACCCTCCTTTTTTATCAGTCTTTCTTCATGATCGGCCAGTCGTCCTTATCTCCTCCAGGGGGCTGTCTGAGCTTCCGATGTTTTATTAGCCGCCAAAAGAAATGCCAGTTTAACCTCTTCCCCTTTGCGAAATTAATCCTAAATTAACTTTATCGGAGCGGGTCAACTGCACAAAGTACAGACGCCCTTTTTTCTTGGCGATATCGACAGTATTGGGGCATTCCATTCTCTGTTTCCTTCAGTTGGCAGAGGAACAGATAGAGTTTACTTTCTTGATTCAGGATTGATTGCTACAGTGGCCTTTATAGTGCAAAAAATTATGTGACATCCTTCCGTTCATATCATGGCCATGCTCATCAATGAAATTTATGATCAAAACACCCTTAAAAAAGAGGACTGTGATTGTAAAAGTTCATGGGTTCAACATGTGCTTTCAGATGAGTCTTATAGAACAAGATTTCTTTTTCTGTCATGATGTACTGTACCCGTACTTGTAGGAATCTTTATTGTTGAGAGGAAAATAATTTAATTTGTGTAAGCTCTGTTTTGAAACAACCTCCAACTCTATGAAAGGAAAAATTTAAAAGGGTAAGGGACTTGGGTGTATGTACATAGTTAATTACAAGTACCTGTGTGTATTCTGGAAAGGCATGAATAAAAAACTTGAAATCATTGACAAAATACAGCGTACATGTACATGTATCTCATAAACCACGAAAATGTATGTTGCTAATCTTGCACTCCAGTGAATAAGAAAAAAAGTAAGGTTTGCTAAATAGTGCGGAGTAACTCAGAAGAATAGGCTAGAGCTCAGGAAAAGTGCAAAAGCTTGCTTGGACAATAGATGATTGGACTCTGCAGATGTTGCTACAGAATTAATTAACAATTGAATAGACAATGGGAAAAAATACAGTTTTGGGGCTGACTCTTTATTCTCAATTATCAGGATCTGCTAACTCCCTGTGGGATTTTCCGGTTAGCATCAGTGTTATTTTTGTCTTCATTTCTAAGGCTCCTTTCCAAGTGATTGGAAACCCTTCAAGTCCTGTATAAAGGTCATGTGCACTGTTGTTGCAGTTTTAATCCTTGTCATTTGTAAGAAACATGTATCTAACTGCAGTGAGGAATTTTATTTTGAAGATATTTCAGTAGACCCCCATGTACATGTACATATATGTACATGTTCATCAGTGTGAAAGAATGCATGTGTGATGATATCGTATTTTTCTTATTTTTTTCTTTCCCTTTTTAATGAGCGAAAATCTTTCATTTTTTGTGAGAGAATAAAATGTCAGTTAAAAAGATAAATAAAACATTCTCTGGTTTTTCCACTCTGGTTGCCAATAGTCTGGATGTAGGGAATTCATTGATTTTTCTTTCCAAAACTACTTGGAAATAAACCCTGCTGTCCGGAACTGTTTTTATGGTAAATACTGCAGTGTTATCGTAGGCCATCCCATCTTTGGATGTTGACACCACAAATCCATATTGCACTTATAATCTATTCACGCCAGGCTGACGCCAGGCTGTTGTCTCTAGAATACCTAAGGTCAACACTCCAAAATATTATTCCTGGTGCATTCAAGAGTTTTCATTCTGCTTACCTTATGATTTCTTAACAGGCTAGCATTACAGGAGTATCATGTGGAAGAATTTTCATCATCGGAATAGCTAGAATTTAATAAAAAGTGAAGTGTTTTCCATGTCTATGGTATCTTCATCTAATTTTCCTCAGTTGCCATTAGAAACCCATCTTGTTTTCCATCATTTTTGTTTGCCATTACCTTTTTGTTTGTAGGACGTTAAGATCTGTTTTTAACAATCCTTTACATTTATTCAGAGTTTCATTTCTTGCAGTATGCTGTAAGAAATTTCCATTATTCAATCTCCTCACTGTCTTTGTTTCCTAAATCTTTTTTCATTTTTCTTTCATTCCATCCTCTGTTATTTTGACGTATCTGCCAATCCTGTTTCCATCATTTAATCTCCCCCGTTGTTTTTTTCCTTCTTTATTTTCCTATTTTCTGTCAACCTTCCACCATCTGTTAATCTTTCTTGTCATCTTTTTAATCTTTCCTCAAACCTCCATTCTTGTTTTTTTCTTCTTTCCAGTCTCTCCATCCTGTCGTCTAGTTTGCCCACTGTCCTCTTCCTTTCACCACTAATGATCTTTTGAAGTGCCAGGAAATTCGCCCAAATGAGGGAAAATCAGGCAAATATTTCTTCAGCAATTCTTGCTTTTTAGATGTCCCCCTTCAAAGTCAGAAACTTTCAGTACCAGACTCCCACCCTTCTCATTGGTGCTCTTAAACTTCCGAGAGCCAGCGGCACTCTGCGCAAACATCATTAAGGGTCTAAAGTAAGTGTGCATTTGAGAAGCCAAGACGCTGTTTGGATGAGAGTGTAAGTTGCTGTCTGGAAGCGATTTGAATTGAGAGACGTCGTCAGTGATGCCGAAAATGGACAGGAGAGAAAACAGCACGGTTGACTTGTTGACAGTTCGTGTAGCATCTTGGCGAATCGAAACCCAAGATTTAGTGGCCTTCTTGTGCCCGAGAGATCAATATTAGACAAGAGTAAGAAAAACAGAACAGAGACGCAGGGAGACCAACGAGGACAGAAATAACAGCACTGCACTGCAGCAACATCACATCTCGGACTCTTGGCTCATGCATGGGGGGTGTGTCAAGCAAGCAAAAATAGTTCCTGAATTACATGAACGGTACACGTACACGTAGGTCCACAAGTAACGTAAGCCCAAGTAGCTTTTCCGATGAAACTTGTTCTCTGATGTTCCACATGTGTACACTACCCGTCATTTGATCTTTGTGTTTATTATTAACAGATACTATTTGTTCTTATTTTTTAACCACCCTAGCTTCATAAACATATACAAACACCGCCGTTTCTGAAAGGTACCGGCAACCGGAGAAAAGCTGGAAATATGTGTACGGGTAGTTTTTATTGATGAAATGTACATGTACGTTTTGAACTGGAGATCTGAAAACTGTTTCAACTTGCAACTTGCACTGATGTATTTCGCAGAAATGCAAAATAGTATAACTGCTGCCGACTGCTTCAGTACAGTTGACTGCTGTGACCCGAAATAGGTGACCTGACATTTCAATCACGGCAGAATTCGGCTCTGGCCTTTGATGTGGAGCGTACTCATGTACTTTTCAATGCAAATCTAATTTGGATGCTTTTCCCAGATCTTTGCGGTGTCTCGGACGGACTCGGAAAAAATCTTGTGCGTGCCCAGTTTAAAACACTCCCTTCCACTTTTCCTTGGCTGAATTGTAAATTCAACCATGGCCTCCAGAAACTACTGACTGGGTACTGGCAAAGCAGGGATTCCGTTGGGTATTGGGAGGCGATAATAAACCTGGACCCACCAAAGTTACCAGGGGACAGATCCCCAGACTTTTTTTTTCCAGGGCCCCAAAACAAAACCAGATGTCGCCCGTGTTTAAAAGGGGACCTACAAATAAATAGTGGATGAATGACAAGCATATGGTTGGTGTAAAATCCTCAGTCCTTGTTCACCTTTATGTTTTCATCATTTGCTGGATTTGATGATATTTCGTGGGTGGCCACTTCTCTATCTGTTCCTCATGGTCTCGTCCTTTTTTGTGGCAAAAATAGTTGACTTTGGACTCCATGCAAACTACATACAAGTCCGTTAGCACAATACGAAATTAATATACAGTTTAACACCATTTCTGCCATTTGTCCACACTTCAGGGTCTGCAGGCATAGAGCTGCATACATGTAGGTCAGAAATTTGTTAGTGGAGATATATTTGCTTAACAAAACCGGGGTTACCAACAGAAATGTTGCATGTACGTGTATTGCTTGTGACTAGTACACCACTAATTCTTTGCAAAGCATATCAATCTGCTAAGCAAGATTACTGCTAAGAAGAATAGCCAGTTGCATTCCCAGCATGTGCAGATGTTACAGGTTATGTCAATTCCGTCGAAATTTGGTCATTGTCGGACCACTGCAGTTTCTAAATTTCAGTTCATTTGCCTCTTTTTTTTCTGTCACCTAATTACAGATGCATCCCTTGGGCCTGTGCAATTCTAACGAGGATGACGAACCATTTGATTATGGCTGGGTGGGCGTGGTCCAACTGGCCTCGCCTCTTGATAACCCTAAGCCGTGCCTAACCATCTACCAGAAGGTAAATCTATTTCTTTTCACTTCCTGTGACCAACCACCCTCCCCGTGTAGTATTAAACTGGGTTGTATCTCTCAGAGGAAATATACAAAAAAGTGGTCAGGTTTGACCTTTCTCAATCGTGCCTCGAGACCTTATTCTCAGGACAGCAACATGTACATGTATCTTTGACTGTCTTTCCTGAATCTATGTTATTTAGTACTGTCTGTATAAAATTTGATGGTTCTGGACTGCTTTGAGTTCTAATTACCTTAAATTTTGAATTTTATATCATAAGTTGTTGTAATGTGTAATGAACGTTTCCCCTAATGCCATTTTTGTTCTTTAGGTTCCAAAAATAAGACTTAAACTCACTCTTAATTCAGCATGGCTGACTTGCACTTAAGGAAAGTTGCTCTGTCTTCAGAAAACAGATTTTGATTATTAAGCAAAATTGAGCAGGGAACCAGTCTCCAGTATTTCACGTTTCATGGCACTCTGGCTGGTAACCTGTTACTGCTTAGTGCATCTGTGCTGAATAACCCTAGTAGTGGAGTTTGAAGGATTTGGGATGGTTGGAGTTAATAACACAAATTTATGAGACCAGAATTTAATCTTTGTCGGCCAAAAATGGATAAAAAATCACTTAGCATAAGGGCCCAATTCCATAATGCTGCTCTGTGTCAGTTACCGCGAATGTCATGCAGTCGTGCTTTCTGTAGCAGGTTAAGTACATGTACTATATGCATTTCACAGCCAGCTTGAATGAACTGAGAGTTAGACTTGCAGCAAGATCCCTATTGTTATGCCGTCAATTTAAGCAACTTTTTGCTGTGTTTGTCGCTTTGCGTTCTCTGTGAAACAGATGGAGGTTCTGTTGGCATAAAAGTCGGCTGGTAAGCAGCACTATGAAATCTGGCCAGGTTCTGAGTTGTTGGTGTACCTTAATGAAATTTGGTCTAAATTAGCGAACCAGCTGGGATGGCCCCATGGCGTTTAAATGTTGGTAGTAGTCTTTTTCAAAGATTGAGTTGGTGCTCTCACTCCATTCATGTGCATTCTGGGTTGTAGGGTTCAAGTATGTACATGAACGTGCACATTGATTTCAAAAAAAGCCCCACTGGTTCACTGCCCACTGTGCGTGAGTGCAGTAAACTGGATCAAGGACTCTCCACCGTTCTCCACTAATTCTCCCTCCTGTCCTTTCATCGTTTGCCGACTACTTCAAAAACCCCAGTCTCTGTTGATACATCTCAACCTTTCTAATCCCACACTCCTGTCATAACGCCCGTGCAGAACTCCTCCGCAGTCCAAATAACAGGAAACAATTTTTGATGGATTACTATTACATTTTTCTCCCCCCCCCAAGCACACACTCTTAAAGGCCCCCCTTCCGTGCAACTGTTTTTTTTTTCTGTACTGCCAGTAAAGTGTTGTTTACTCAAGGATTACACAATGAGCATGCCAGCCAGCAGGGGTCCTATCTCCGAGAATCAGCAAACTTGTCTAGATGGATGGAGAGAAAAAAAAAGTCAGCGCTGACAGCGACCGGTAATCTGGGATGATAGATCTGCTGGCATATTTTGTTCCACTTCCTCCCCTCCAGCTCTGTTCCTACCGGTTCAACGTTAAGCTTCTCAGTTTACGCGGGTCGGCAGTGAAATGAAAGGATATCGCGGATGTCCGCCAGAAAATATGGATCTGGAGGAATGAAGAGAGGCCATAAAATTGCCCAGGCCCCGGGAGTTATTATTTTTCCTTTTTTTTAATGGTCATCCCCAATGGACGGCCAGTTTACACTGCTGGGGTCTAGGCCTAGAACAACCATACATTGTACACGTAGATATACTGGCATTGCGTTTCCATTACATGGTTGATTGCAAGGTCTCTCAGTACCGGGCAATCTTGAACTTGGATGGCCATGTGAATTCCATTAAATCAAAATATATATATACCGGTACATGTCCATGTATGTGGGGAATCTGGGACCATTAGAAATAGTACTGGTACACATGTGAGATACATGTATGCACATGTAGGCCTAGGCGGCTCGGAAAAATTGGGTGTTTCAATCACGACTTTGCATGGTTAGTTTAGCACCCATTTTGTTCATCTATCAATTTTTAGAGTAACTGCACAAAACAGCGATGCAACTGCCCAATTTTTCCAAGCCGCATGCATCCCACATCCACACCATTTCTAACATTTCCGAGTTCCCTAAGTCCTTAACAAACAAAAGTTTACAGGTCAAATGAGCGGTCATCAGTTCCCCCATAAACGGATTCATTCATACAATGTACATGTACCGACAAGACTTTCTAATACCATAACCATATATGTACATGTAGGTACAGGCACTTGGAAGTTACAGAAATGTACGGTACATGTAGGTTTTCATGTTGAGGGGTACCATATGGTTGAAATACATGTACATGTGTCTGCCTGCCCCTTCCCAACCAAGTTAATCGTTCATTGCTGCAGCCTCTTGATTTTTTGTACAGCGCCCAATCCAAATTAGCTTGCCGATTGCTTTAATAGAATTAAAGGCAAGGTTTCAACATCTGGACCCTTGCTTGCACGTGCACGGCCAGTATGTGTTCAAGAACTGTAATCACAATCAGGTATCATTGATGAGAATTTCATTGATCTGGGGGGGATCGGATTGTGTTGTCAGCCTTGCGCGTTTGATAAATTTTCGAATGGAAATGTTTATGTTTGCTTCTTCTGTAGAAATGTGACTTGTAACTGATGGACAAATGGAGTCTGAAAAGAAAGCTCATTAACGGGAGAGTTTTGAGATGCTCAGTTGTAAACACTGTGGTCCTCCCTGTTGTTTGTATCCCCTTGACTACAATGTATGTTGACCACAAAGGAAATATTGCTGCAGATGAACAAACTTGTGCAGAAGCAGTGGAGAAAATTCTTTTTCTTTCTTTTTCATATATAATTTTGAAACTGGCTCAGGAAACTGCAGATTCCTGAAACGGGAATAATTATAATCAAATCATGAGGACTGGGTTCAGGTCTACATGTAGGTGTGTTATCGCTCGGCCGGTTCAGTTGTATCCACGGGTTGGTTGGTAACCTCATCAATAGTTCATTCACTCCGCCAAGCACACTGGGTGAGAAAATGGAATCTGGTCTGCGCCTCACAGCCTTGTGACGTACGAACCCTCTTGATTCACACACACTCACTTGCTACCTCACTGACTCGTAGTCTTGCGGATTGCTCGGCCTATCAGATGACGGATTGCCGTCCGGAGTCAGAAAAGCGAGTCGGTACGGTTTTGATCTTTCCTAAATGGCTATGACAGCTCTTGTGACTGTGAAAGGAATCAATGGCCGACTTTGTGGGCACCGACTGTCTTTGCAAAGTACCGACAGACCATTGTTATTCTAATCCACTCAGTAGCCCTGACTGGATAAAACCTTTACTTTTTATCCCTGTTCCACTTCACTGCCTGAATTTCAATTACATTCTCATAAAGTCACATATATATTAAACCCCCCCTCTGAAATTAAAGTAGTTAATTTTCGATGGGGGGGGGGAATTGCCTCTGTAATCAGTACAGTTTGCAATGCCACAAAATTCACATCCACAAACCGGATGGGCTGGCATTACACGCATGTTGCTTCAGCGACTGGTAATTCCTGCAAGGGTTACTTTTGTTCTGTTGACTTCCACCACTTCGCCTTCACAGGACCCCAAGTTATTGACAAGACTGCTAAGGGATTAACAAAGCTACCTTTGGACAGCCTCATCTCCCCCCTCCCCTATCTTGTCTGGTGAAATTGATCCGCTGGTTCTCAAGACTCAAGCTAACCTAATCTTCCTTTTGTCAGTGTCTACAGCCCTGTAGCTACTGGTAGCCAAAGGTCCATGAACTCTGTAGCCCACCAAACCTGTTCNCCCCTGAATGTGTAAATTCTTATGCCACACCCTGCAACACCATACTCAAGTCCCTTATAATACAGACCTTAATGGTGATGATCAGCAAGTGATTCGTCATCTTCAAACAGAGCCAAGGTGCTTCACACTAGAGCAAATATAGCCCAGAGGGAATGCCAAAGACTTCCGTTCAAAACAAAGTACATCTTGTATTTATGGATCTCCTTTAGGGCCTGAAATGGCCCGCTGATATTTATGATAGAGCAGAAATTCTGAAAAACACAATTTTTCTGCATGTACATGTACTCAAGCTTTGTTTGGGGACAAAAAGCTACATTTGTGTTGTCATGGCTGCAGCATTTTCTTGCCTCGGTCGGTACGGTATACATGCTTGTACAGTATAGTCAATGGAAACTGTGTTTGTACATTCCAGCTTTCTGTGCTTTTACCTAAAAATGTTCAGGAGAAATTCATCCTACCGGTAGCACAAGTTTTTCAAAATGTATGCATGTGCATTTCTGTGTGTATGTGGCTCTAGAGTGAATTTTTGACTTAATAATTTGCATGAAACTGCTCTGACCACAAACAGTTGGGAGGGGGAGATACGTGTACTTGAAGGTTAGTCCGTTATTAAATCTTTTTTTTTGTATGTGCACAAGTCAACTTCCCGAAATGTGAATGGGACCATTCAGTACGAAAAACAGGGGAATGAACGACCATTTTCCATAATTGGCAGGTGCAACTGATTCCATCCTTCACTCTGCCACGCAGGGTTTTACCATTCCCTCCCCTAACTCAACCTACTTCCTACTCATGCATACCCCTCTCTCTCTCCCAGCTGTGGAACGAGGCTGTCTAATCCGTGTCACGCTCCGTTTGCATGAGTACTGAAGCCTGACCAGCGTTAACCAGCTTTTCTCTTGCCGCATTGATCCATTCTGGACAGTGTCGCAAACAGCCTGTCCTCCCCTTCACCTTTAGGTCAAGTCACTGGAGCCTGCAAAGTTTTTAAAGATAACCCAACAATCTATTCTAACTTAGTTTATATTATTATACACCATAAATACATGTACATGTACAAGCACCTGTAGATTGTGGCCTTTTCCTTTTAAATTTATACGTCTGTGCTTGCTAATAATTTGGAACATTGTGTTCACAAAATCCTGTTTCCTACCCTTTGTGCATTTAAGTACAATTGTATTTTTATCAAAACATAAAAGGAAGCTCTTTTTGTATGTTTTCTTTGATTCTTTTTTGTTCAGTAAGCTTCAAATAAGGTAAATTGAGTGGGTTTTTTTTCCGCATTTTGGCGGAAGTGCATTTCATTGAAGTTGTAAAGTAGGCCCTAATTATCAAAACAGCAAAACAGACAAAGGTTGAGTTGTAGTACATGAACAATCATAAATCTTTGACAATTTTGGGAGCAATGATGTACTGTCATTGGTATCTTACTCTTATATCTCTCTCTGGAATTAATCCCGTAAGTCAGGTCATGAATCCAAGTAAATTGAATCATCAGACAGTTGCAAATTCATTTTATTCTTTTATTCAGTGGGAAATATTGGTTTCAGAATTGCTCATCCTTCACAAAAGATACAATGTATATACATGTACGTTAGGCATTTCCTTTAGGAATAAAATTAAAATATTCACCCAGGTTTTATTCATTGCAGTAAAAATTGTGCATGCATGTACGTACATGTGTATACATCAATGTTTATAAGAGGGTGATTTTTATGAGAATAGCCCTTGAAAAGTTAACATTAGTATTGGTATCTTTGCAGTTTGGAGTTTAGATGTACATGTACATGCACCGGTATGTTGAGCTTTGATGCCTGTGTAAATGCTTGCCTACCTCCTTGCATTTTCTTCCCTGGTAATGATCTTGTTTTGGTGTCGTCCTTCCTTAATAGTTGGATAATGTATTCCTTTTTTTGGTCTCTCCCTGTTGGCTCTCTCTTGTGTCGCAGGCCAAGCGTGCCGTTCAGCTAGGTGCGACCGCAGTCATCTTTGACGTGACGCATAACACAGACGCCATCCAAGAGGTAAGGTTGCACGTTCCTGGCTCAGAATGAAGATCGCATCAGGGACTTCAAGGTTTTTTCACCACATTTACCTTTTTTTAAACTCTTTGCTTGTGAACTGCCTTTACCTGTAAGAGACGGTACTCTCTAGCAAGCATGTTTGCAGCTGCCCGTGAGTCACATAACTCCACATTGATCAAATGTTCATGTTCCAATCTATTTTTATGTTCCTGTAAATGTACGTAGTGAACAACCATTCTCTTGCCAGGAAGATAGGAAATGTAATTTTCCAAAACTAGTTGAGAGATGTAAAAGGTAATGACAAAGAATAAAAAGCATGGATGCTATAAGTAGCTATGTGATTGGGTTGTGGTCGGCGAGGTACCGTGTAAGGCAATTTAGCAGTGATAAATTCTCCATTTGGTTGACCTCTTTTTCGTCCATGTTGCAAAACAGGTTTTCTCGTGGAGAGTTCACAACATTGCACACATATGTCCTGGGACCCGTAGTGATTGAGTTAGTAATTGGGCTTTATTGAGCGCTGCAGATTGGAACAGCTTGCCCAGTTTTGCCTGAACAGGCTCCCCTCCCCGCCAGAGAAGAGACCAGAATCGGGGTGAACAGCCAGTGCTGATTTCCCTTCCATGTTGAATGATCCCCCAGGGTTGGGGCTGTTTTAGGGGCCACAGTCTGTTAGATAAATTGGAGCCATCGCACAGCTAGCAAGCTCCCATCCATCTAGAGGAGATTAATCCAATGGCAATAAGGATGCCTACTTAGGGGTCAGTAACACAGCCTTAAAACGATTCCCTCCTTCTATTTGAATGTCCAAACCATTTACCAGTGATCGGCACGGTAAACACGCAGTCTTGTACTCGGTCAGAAATTACACAAACTGGGCCTTGCTCTTCTTAAAGTTACATGTACATGTACATGTACCTTGGATCGGATTGTAAATTTACCTTATCACTGTAAAATCATGTCTTGCATACAACAAAGTGGTAACCTGTTAGGCAAGTTTGGTTGAGGTCGTTCTTCTCAGTTGTGAACTGGTAAAATTCACCTCTCGGTGAGCACTTGTCTTGCCTTGATGAGAAAAATAACTTGGTTTACTGAATGGAATAGTTTTGCAATTTTCAAGACATTGGTCATTTATTCCAGGGTACGTAGTTTTATTCTCAACACCATACCGGTTTGTTCCTTTGGAAGAAAATTGGTGTACAGCGTTAGAATTTTCTCGGAATCAAAAAGTTTTGAACAAAATGATTAGAATTTATGAGCCTCAGTCTGCACTCTCTACAGACATTGGAAGACTTTGTTCTGCGAGTGGTGACATCAAAAATCTCGAAACCTTAAACATTTCACTGTGGATTTCAAACACTCCTCATGTTTCATAATTTCAAATTTAATTTGCACTTTTTGCAGTATACATCCATCGTGGTTATAAAACAGACCAAGGGAACAGCCAATCAGGCAATCCCTATGAATATTTTCCAGTTTGGCTGAAAAAATGTAGGCTTCTTGGGCACAAGGATAACAGATGTGATGAATTTCAATTCCAGTACGTCTTCCTTCCAGCTAACTCATCCTGTGTGGCCAGGCCAGCACTGCATGGAATTATTTTTCCCAAGTTTATGCACCATTTTTTTCCAACAGTTTCCGACGCCTGTTTTATTAATCAAATAACAGCAAAAGGAGCCTCACTAAAAGGGTTTTGATTTAAAGCATAATGCCAGCATCCCTTCATTTTCCTTGTCTGGGTCTGGTTTTTCCTCTAACGGGAAATAGAAAGGAGAGGCTCCAAGCTTCTTTGGTCCCAGATCGGCCTGTGGGAACCTTCCCGGAATCGACTGTAGCCATGCCACAGAGTAGGTTTAATTGGTCAATTCCCCTGGACTGCCAGTTGAATTGCCTGGAGGGTTCTGTGTCCCCAGCCAGTGAATAATGTATGGCCTTCAGTAATTGGTCAGCAAGAGTGTGTGTACATTGTAGCTGTGTTCATGTGGGCATGCACTGGCCCCAAGCTTACAGTGAAAAAGAAAAACTCTGGAAAGAGAGAGGGGCCATCACTTTGCACTGCCCTTGAAGTCCCACACACACAACCACAGGCTAGCTTAATTGGTCAGCCTGGTCACCTGGTACGAGGTCAAGGGTCAGCCAGAGTGGAATGTCTTCCCTGGGGTGAATGGCTTTGACCTCAGATGTAGGCCAAGGATTAACTGGTTGGACTCTGCTGGGAAGTTTACAGCAGGTTTACCTGTGCCATGGAGGTAGATCTAGACCTGGCCAGGCTTACCGCATTGAAAGAAATCTCACACACGTGCGACATGTACATACATGTATAATTCTGACTTATTTGTACTATGTCCTGGGCCTGTGCCTACAGTCATTAGAAAATGTGGAATTGGATCTGGAATCTCCACAAGATGACTTCCAGGCCAGGGATACGAAGGAGTGAGATAACTACATTAAATCATGGAGAGAAATAGATTTCTACCTCCATGATGAATTAAAGGAAAGTGATTTCAAACAATGTATGTATTAAGAAAGTGCTATGTGGAGAGTTTCACTGACCTGTAAAATTGTGAGATGAGAACAATTCCTTAGACTTTACGATTTGAATTGAAAAAACATTCTTTAGTCTGTACATGAATGTGCCTGGTTTAAATCCCTGTGCAATATGTGAGAGTGAACGATTTTGATTCACCATTCCTTATTCCCGGCACATCACTAGTTCTTTCAAAGGATTTCAGCTGTCACAATGCATTAACATCGCATGGGCGCTTTACCGATGAACAAAGTAAGAAAAACTGTACCCCCCCACATGCATTTCACATGCCTGTTCACAGCTTTCTTAACAGATGCCACTGTTCCTGTGGCATATTTGAAAAGTGTGAAAATTTATGCGGCATTGTCGTTACTTTTCACAAGTGTGTGTGGCGGCACTGGCAAAGATACTCCTATTCATGAATACTTGCCCTGTCAACAAATTATTTGTGACACCCAATACCAATCTGACACACAATGTACATGTATATGTGTATGTTACACGTACAGTGGAGGAAGTTTTGATGCTAGACAATGCCTCTCCCAACCTGTTTCAATTTCACACTACCAAGTGAAATTAATTGAAGTAAAGCAAACACTCTCTGTAGAAAGCTGTGATAGTTACCGGTACCGTCGATGGAAATTGCAGAATTTGAATTGTTCATGCGTACATTGGAAAATATGTCTCACTTTCCAATAACACGCATGAACTGGTACCGTTATGTGTCAATGTACCATACAGCCTACGTTTACATACTGCCTCAGCTTGTGTTTTTGATGGCAAAGAAATATTGCAGTGTTTTCTTCCTGTTGGAACTTAGGAAAGATGTTATTTGTAGAACTTAACGCCGTTTTGGTAAGTACATTTTCACATACATGTACATGTACGGTGTACATCACCTTGATGTACATTGTATACGGTATGCATTATGTATCACTGTTCATGTAAATGTACAGTAAAATGCACTTTTTGTTGGTTGTAAATGTCAGAAATGGTTTGTTATCAGCACACGTGAAGTTTGCAGTGATCTTCCCATTGAAGATTTTTAGACGCCGTTGAAGTTGATTAACCTGTCCTTTAGTGGAAAAGTTGTCAGCGTAAGTCTCCTGTTTATACTTCAGCTACATGTATAAAGGTCTGGCAATGTAGAGTAAATGTACAGTGTGTACTTAAACTCGTGATATCCAGCAAACCTGCTGAAGACTTAATGCTTGATTTTTCATGGTTAATAAGCTTTCAAATCCTTTGCCAGTTGTGCACACAATCAGATTCCATCTCAGCCAAATCTTTGATCTCTTGGGGGAGAAAAGTAGCTGATAATAAGACCGAAGTCGCCCCTCATCTACAAAAATGTTCCTCCTGTCACTTTCCTCCCAGCCCACTTAGCCTGATCCCTTGACAAGCCAGTTTGCCAGCCATATCCAATTTCCCTTGCAATTTAGTCTAATATTGTCGCATCTGGTCCAACTTGCCGTGGCCATGGAGACCATTAACCTTGGATTTCACTGGATATTTCGGTGAGTAAATTGATATTAGGAAAAAGCCTCTCTCTGATTTTTTTTTTTTTCTAGTGGAAGGGGAAATCGATCGGGTTCATTGCTTGCAGTTCTCAGGGCATCACTCTGCATCCTTGACATGTCATCTTGTATTCATCTGCAGTTTCTCTGGAGGAGCCAGCTCAGATAAGATATTCTGTCCACTCAGAACTGAAATGAATTAAGGGCGCGTCGCAGACCTGGGCACATACATGTACACAGACAAGATAAAAAGGAGGGACACACGATCAAATTTCTTTAGAGTCAACAGAAGAAGACATTAGTCAGTACATGCGTGTCTTTTCGAGCTGATGTCTGTACTTGTTCTCTGAGGTTTGTCTGGCGTATGTTGGGAGGATCACATGGTAAACATGTACAGTCTAAGTGGTAGGAGTTTGCACAGCACCATGCAGGGATATCACTTTTCTGAATTCTGAGTATGTGTGGTTCTGAAAAGAGTACATAATGTATGATAAGGAGACAGTTTTTAAAAAATGAATGTTCAAATATTTGAAAAGAACCTTTTGATCTTATTGTTAGGTGAACTGGTAGGCACTCAGCTGCCTTCACATTTCCTCAAAACAACTTGAAATATGCTTTTAGAATGCAACATTTTAAACCAAATGGTTGGATATTTCCCTTTTTTCATTTTATTAATTTTCACCTCCAAATATTCAATTTTCAAAATACCAGTAGATCTGAATAGTTCACCATCGCCTTACATACTGTACATTATACTTGCCAGTGTGCTTGGCCTTTTCTTCAAACTCAACTTTATCTTTCATTCTGGTACTTAGGGTACAATATATTTGTAAGTCAACCTTTTGGATAAAGTACAGGGTATGCTTTTCACCTTTAAACAACAAAAGTGGAGATGATATTGTCAACAAAATATCAGTAGCTTTCATGTCTAGGCGCAAATTTAAAGGAAATATACTTGAAGCAGTTTGTCCAGGATGGATGAATCGGAACACAGCAGTGCTAAATCTCCAGAATTTTTTTTTTTTGCCTGAGATAGAAGGAAATCAAGATTAATAGAGAAGGCAGACAGGATTAATAGGCCAAGATGAGGCAGAGGAAGGGAAAAGAGGTGCAGATTGTAGCAGGGAAGAAAATAAATGAGAAGAGAGAATGGCTTCATCAGGGATGACGGATCGGCGGGGAAGAACTTGAGGAAGAGGAGAATTGCGGCAAAGATTCGGAGGAGGAAAAGCCGAAGGCGGAGAAATGCATCAGAGAGAGGAAAACCCCAGGATCGGAAAGATTGTAGAGACAATTTCTCCTGAGGATTTTTTTTTTTGGTCATAACAAAAAACGCTCGAGGCGCGCAATCGTTTCACCTGCCTTCCCCATTGCCGTGGCTGCACCATCCCCGCTGTCGTCGAAGAGAGTCACATGTCCGTTACTGTGGGAACAGCCCGTAGCTCTTGTGCCTTTTCCGGAGAGTCGGTTGTTACTCTGTGCTCTGGGCTGAAATGATATGATAAAGGACTTGTATCAACATTGGTGACATTTTAAAGGTTTTGGTGCTGTGAGAATATGGATTTTTTTATACATATATTTTTTGGGGGGTCTTTGCCCGGAACTACACATTTGAGATAGATTCTCAATTACACTTCTTTTTCCTTGGGGCAGTTTTTATCTGTCGGAAAATTGCAGCGACGATAATGTTGCAAAATACGTACAGTATTGTCTCTCACTCGAGGAGCTGCAGTAAAGATTGTTACCCAAAAAGTTGGGCCCACTTTTCGCAGGTTTTGGTATTATCTTCAAGTTAAAATCATCAGTTTTTATTTCCCATGAGTTTGTGCAAGGTTTAATTGTTTTCATGGTTTTGTGTTTAGTTGAAGTTTATTTCAAAAACAAAGACAGGGAACTCGTTTACGTGTATACAAATATTGCTTTTCTATGTACTCGCAGTTTTAAAGGCTGTTGTTTATTGATGGAATGTATTTCCTAAAATCAAAGCGTTTCTTGTGCAGAAATACCTGTAAATTATTAGATGAGCAAGTACCAAAACAGAAAGTGCCACTCATGAAGACGACATGCATGATGTTGGGTAATATGGGTGTCCATCCTTCTCATTTACCCTCCAAAAAGTTTTGAAGAAATATGTAGCATTACTGTCATCCAATCAAGCTGAAGTAGCATGATTAAACAACAGAAAAGTGAAAATTACCCCAAGAAAATGTAGACAAGTGTAATATTTGTGCAAAAGCTCTGGAGCTACTATCCTTCTGCCTGGGATGACATCACGCAATAGCTCAAGAATATGGAAAAGACCAAAATGTTGAAGTTTCTCACTTGTACTGCCACAAAGGAGGAAGGAAATCATAACTTTCCTACATGTATGCAAATCATAAAAATCCTATTTGAGATGGGGCTAACACGGGTGTCATCTTGTGCATGATCATATTGGCTGAATATAGAAACATGCATGCAACGGTACATTTATGTACACGTACAATGTACATGAACAAGTAGTCTTGGTATCAGCAGACTGTACATGTACATGTAGTTCTAGGTTACTGTCCTAGATATCCAAGTGTCATTTTCAGCCTTAGGGAACAGATAGTCAAACCACATTTGACACTTGAACGTGTCAGGAGCAGGTGCTTAGATTAACCCGCAATATTTTGATTAGTTCTCCTCCATCGCATGTGTTGGTACTCCGTGAAACAGCCGGTAACCGATACCCAGTTCAACCCGGAAGCCGTACCCAGTGGAGTGGTCAAGTATTTTAATGGCGTGAATATAAAACAGGGCCGCCTGTGGGGGATGTTCCTCAGTGAGAAACAAGAATCTTTTGTCTTTATGTTTAGTTGGGGGGGGGACAATTTCAGGGCGATATAAATGGGTGTATCCTTGCGTCCCAATTGTACAGTCAACAGACCCAGTCTGATAATGTTTCACACATCATCCCCAAAGGATTCCCGTTGCCAATTTGAAATACTGCTTTGAAGTTTGATCCTTATTGGAGAAGGAAAAAGGTATTGATGTTATTCGAACATGCCAGACGATACCTTCAGTTCCCAGGTCTTTTACTGCACCCAGTCTTTGAGTTTCATGTCCCAGGCATGTAAGCACACCACCAGAAAGTTGGGTTACGATGTTTACGTTTACCAATATACACATGGTTCACGGTTATTGAAGAATCTTGACTTGGCCTACTTCTGTAATTAAAGGCTCTGTGGAGTCCATAAACCCATTTTATTTGTAACCCTAATATACACCCATGAGAACTGACTGAGAGTTTTGTGGAACTTTCACAAACGTGGGTCAGATTGAGGATGGGATCATTTTCCAATTGGGCTAGCCACAAGAGCTTGCCTTACTTGTCAATTCCTACATTGATTTGGTGTTCAGGCTTGCCATAGTCATGTTCAGTCCTGGGGGAAAAAACACAGTTGTAATGGAAAGTCGTGGAAAAGTCATGGACAATTGAGTGGAAAAAAGTGTGCAGTAGAATCCTGTTGCCTGTGAGGTTAATCAAGTCCTGGAAAAGTCATTGGAATCAAGCAAGTTGTTTTCTTTTTCTGGATGGTCTGTGTTGATGTGATAAATGAATAATGATTGATTTGCAGACGATGTCCTTGTCGCTCTGTAGTTTTCCAGTTCATGATACATACATGTATACCAAACGACTTTTTCTCTGCAAAATGGCATTAAATGTCTTCGAAATTTGTCATGTTTTAGTCGTGGAAAGTCCTGGAAAAGTCATTGAATTTGGTCCTCAGATATCTGTGGGAAGCCTGTTTGTTACTTTCATCAGGCACAGAGCTTGCATTGCTGTCTGAGCAACAACGAGTCATCTATTTTAGTTTCTGAGTACAGAAATTTTCTAAGCCTTGCTTTTTTTAATGGTTAAGTCAGGGCATCAGCTAAAACGTCATGCAGATTCTGTTGCTCCTGACTGGTTCCCAATGTAAGCTTGTTAAACAATTTTTTATTGCTGCTTAAAGACCAAACAAAAGTTGTTAAATACTCGATGGCATCTCTTTTTTTTTTCAACAAGCAAAAGAATTTTGAGGTAATTTTCTTCTTACCAGTTTTTACTAGCATGACAAGTGTCAAGTAAAGAACTTTTTTTTTGGGGGGGGTTGTTGTTTTTACGACAGCTGCGCAGCGAGCAGTCAGCCTCCCTGGAGCGTCCGATTGTCATCTTGCGAGGATCCGACGCGCGGGAGCTGATGAAGATTGTCAACCGGCAAACGGAGGCCAGAGCTCGTATCATGTCACCACCTGCCCAGCCCCCACAGGTAAGCACACTTGTTAGTCAAGAAATGACTTAGGCCACTCCAGATAGATAAGGCAAAGAGAAATTCCTTCGTTCAGATACTGAAAAAATAAATTGGCATTAATAGTTGGTAGCTTTAACACTCTTACTCGATGTGCTTTGGGAAATAACGTGGGGAAATTTTTAATCACGTTGAAAAATTATATGAAATGTGCATGTATGTGAGTTTTATTCTTCAGTTTCTAGATAAAAATTATGGTTTGTGATCAAATTCTGCACAATGTAACATGCAGATAGAGAAAAATGAACTGCGTCTCTGCTCTGAAAAGAACCATGTTCAATTTAGCCAATTCAGTTCAATTTTGGCGAACTGTTGATTTTTTTCCTTTCCATTGGGCAAGAGCCTTGACATCGGTTAAGCCTAGTCGTAATGGTTCTTTAAGTTGGAATCATGACATTAATCGGAATGATTGGCTGAAGTGGAGCCCACGTCAGGCCAAATGATTACCCCAAAATGAAGCTGTCAGAGACAAATCGATGGCTGTGCTGTCCATCTACCCCGACTGCGAGACGGCATGCCTCCCTCAGCTGTCCGTCGATCACACCATGCCTGACTGCTTCATTCCGCCCTCTTCCTGGTGCAATCAGACGGAACATCGGCACATCTGTCCTTTTTTTTTTCCCTTGACTTAGAGTATTCTTAACGCTTCCATGGCTTCCATGGGTTTGTTCTCCTTTCTCTTCTTGTTTTAAAACCTACTTTTGACAGAAATTCAAGGTTTTGATTTGGTCCATTGGCAAAGATTCGAAGGCAGGATGGAAATGAAGGCTGTTCAGCATGCATCACTGCTCTCACTGGAATCCAGCTACTTCCCTCACGCGTAAGAGCCCATGAAAAGGAAAGGAGGAAAAAACCAACGAGAATTTCTGCCCTCTCTTCAAAGCACTCAGCAGAATTGACTGGAAATACTGTGCCAAAGAAAGTGCCATCTCACAGTGTCTGTGTTTTTTTTTACAAGTTTGGAAAATTTTTCAGACCCCATACGGTTCTAAGATATCGGTCTTTATAGCCTTACCAAATCACCCCCCCCCCTTTCTAAAAAGTGTGAATTGGCCCAGTGACTCATGAATCAATGATCCAAGGGGTTTCACAACTCAAAAGGATTTCATACTGTTCCATTGTTTGTCTAGGACCCTACTCCCCCCCAAAAATGGCATGCGAATAAGTCAAAATTGATGCAAGACCGTAATCTCTGTACATACATGTACACTTTCTCTAGTATAGTCAGGGATTCTAAAAAACTTGCACCCTGGGGGTGTAGCACGACCTCTTGTTTGCCTTTTCGGTGGTAATACAGTCCCCGATAGCATCTGTCTGTCTCCAGAAGTCTTAGCCCGCCCGCCTAAGGGCTAGAATTAGAGGGATAAACAGGCTGGCTTTCAGGGAGCCTTCAGGTACAATTGCTTAAGCACTGACTCGCCCAAGAAATGGTTTAATATGGGATCGGCCGGGAAGTAGATTGCCTTGTAAATGTTTTTCATGTTCGTTCCGAGGGTCAAAGATGTTACCAAAGAAACTACTGGAGATAGAGCAAATTCACGGCATACAGCTGTTGGGGAACACAAAAATTGAACACAAACCTGAAGCAGTTTGCAAGAGATGACCTTTGACATGCAGTGTAGCTGAGTTCAGCCGATGAAAAGCTAGGCTTGGTCGAGGCAGGCTCTCGGAGAAACATCGTTTGGAAAGCTCATCCACTGGGGATGGGGGGTCTCAGACAAAATCTGGGTCTATCTGGCTCCAGCACCATACAAGGGGGAAATCTAGAATGCTGGTCTTGGGGGAGGGAGAAAGAGTCATTGCCTCATAACTTTCCACAACTCAAGATTTATGCCGGAAAATCAAGCTGGCAGCTGATTCCGAAAAAATCCAATCAGGGGGATCAGACCAGATTACCCATCAAGAAGTCACTCTTCAAGCAGTGTGTGTCTCATCCATCTGCTTTTGTTTGGAAACAAGTTTTTCTGTGAAAGACTTGTCCTGTGCCGGAGTGATTCTTAAGACATTTTCTCAACTTCTCTGGAGACCAGACGTAATCCAAACAGCTCAGTGTTTGTTTTAGGGATGCATCATTTGATTGGAAACTTAATCACATAATGCGGAAGCATATCGGCTTACTGGCGTGGGTGTTCTTGGACAGCAGTGACTGGATCCAGAATTTTTGCAGGGATTTTTGCTTAGCACATTTTCCCTGCTAAGTGGAGATTTGAGGGAGCCAGCCACAAGCTGTTTGCTTCGCTTGACGTTTGGTTGGGAACCAGTTCTTGCTGAGCCAAGCCCTTCCGTGCTAAGCAAGCTCAGTTGTTACCAGCCTCGTGAAATTTTCTGTGGGTCTTTCAGTGTGGGAAGTGTTATTCTCACAAATTACATTAACATGTACCTGGATGAATAACTAGTTCTTTCCAAGATTTTTACAACATAATTTGTTTTCTGAATGTTTGTTCTCATTCTTCTTCATTTCTTTGCTTTCTTTGTTTGTTGTTATGCGCGTCCATTTGTGGCATGTGGCCTAGTGGTTAGGACTTCTGATCATAGGGTCAGGGGTTCGAATCCAGCTGGTGGTAGCATGTTGTGATCCTGGTCAAGTCACTTCACTCCTATGTGCCTCTCTCCACCCAGGAGTAAATGGGTACCTTTGAGGGCAGACACGGTTATGTTTAGCCGTTTGCACTGAAATGGCAGCACCGGGCTAGTATACTCCCCAGAGAGCTGAGATGGTTTGAGGAATGTACGAATGATGTATGAGCCCAGTGTTTAGGGATAATGAGGATATGAGCGCCTTTGTGGTGGATACCGGCGCTTCATTAATGCTCTTATTGTTGTATGGTAATTCAGTTGCTTATTTCTTTCCTCATTTTGTGCAAGGATTTGCCATTCTTGATCTGATACTGTTGTCACCATACTTAATCATTATTTCCTGTACTAGGTACAGTCATGGCGGTATAAAATTCTCTTATTAGTCAGAAGTGCACTTTTAACCATTTCAATTGCAGAAGACTTCCAACGAGTTTTTCGACATGGGAATCTTTGTGGCGTTCTTTGTTCTGATTGCCATCATCTGCCTGCTGCTTCTCCTCAAGTTGAGATGGAGACAGAAGAGGAAGCAGGTGAGAGCGAAGCCCAACACTTGTCCGGATTTCGGATGGCTTTGGAAACATTTCAGGAGTTACTCCAGTCCCACGTCTGAAAACCATTCATTTGCAATTGTGACTGATGAGTAAGAACATCAGAGTTATATTGATTGAGGGTAGAAGTCGTGGTGTAAATTCTCAAGAATTTGTTTTCCAGATTTCAGCATGTTTGATCCCAAAATTGTGGTTTCTTTTAAAGTCTTAGGCACTCAAGTTTTGCTACTTTTTACAGTGTGTACAAATTGCAAGATTCTTGATTATAAGCCTTTTGCAAGTTAAATTTGAGTAAAATCTGGTACGTCGAGTTATCTGATTGCACATAAACAAAACAATTTGAATTCCCCAGACTAAAGACACTGTTACTATACCTCGTGATTTGGGACAAGCTTCTGCATAGGCTGTCCCCTTGAAAACAGTTTATTGATGCAAGGCGTCTCTTACCTAACTAGGCTAAAACTTGCTGTGAAGGTATAGCAACAGTGTATTTAGTATGGAAATTCATCGTTATGGTCACATGAATTTTAAGACCTCAGTGTTACCACATTTTATTCAAATTTAACTTGCAAAAGGCTTATAATGGCCATTTTCAAGAGATGTTTTGCCTTGTTAGCTAATGAAAGCTCTGAAAAGTTGCAGTGTTTTCTTGTCATTGTTGTCATTACAGTACAAGTACCCGTCGTTCTGATTTGTGAGGTTTTCTAACTTTTTTTTCTGATGTTGTTCTTAGACCTCACAGGTTCGCATGGCGATGGATGCTCTGTCAAAGATGGAGATCCGCAAGTACAAACACTACTCGGAGCATCACCAGTTGCGCAAGTCGTCGCAGGATGAACACTACACCGAGCATCACCAGATCCGCAAGTCGTCCCAGGATGACAGGTGGGCGGCAACTACGCTCAGCATCGCATCTGAGGGGATCATCTGTGCAATCTGTCTGGAGGAGTTCCGAGACGGCGAGGTGAGTAGTGAGTGTCGGCTTAAAGTAGATATTCAGGGATCTTCATGAGATCATTGAAGTGAATTCCAGGGCGGGCCAAACGCAGGTGTTGCGTCAATTCAGCAGTATCGTCATGCATCATGAAAGTTGACGAAAGTGATTCTGTATTTTATCAACAATCTGGACTACATGTACGTTGTCCAGAGCAACTTTTAAAATGCAGGCTGGCTAAAATGGTTCACAATGCTCCTTGCATCTCTACCAGGAGTTTTCACAAATATTAAAAATCTAACACTGTTTTGGAAATTGGATGGCACACTGCTTATCCAAAAACAGGTACAACAAAGCCCAGTGAGATTACCATTTCTTTTATTAACTTGTGAAAAAGGACTTTATTTAACTAGCGAGAGATAAAAGCTTAATTTTCCTGTGGATGCTGTGTCAAAAGGAACAAATAATGATAATGCTTAAAAGTAATGTTGGCAATTCTTTCTGCTCATCAGAAGAGAAGATTCCATTCTGTCAGTTCATGTTTTGTCTGTCTCCCAGCCCAGGGTGAACGAAGCTGTGATACATGTAAATATGGAAATAAGCAGTGGTCCCCAGAGATGGAGACCCAACTAATGCAAATAGCAGACCACGTCTGTGGTGTATTGCAAAGAGAATTTTGAAGGGGGGTGGTTAGAAGCAAAGGCGCTAGTTCAGGCCGACGGAATTAAGCAAGAGATGAACTGGGATTAAATGCGGATTACGGGCAACCTTGACTCCTGTGGAGCGTTGGATAGTGTTGCAGTAGTCACATTCACGGGATCATGGAGAATTACTCAGCGACAACCCATTGCCAAGTTCAATCATTCTCTGCCTTCCACTTTGTTGAGAGCCAGTCTCCGTGGCTTGCTGATGTTACAGTCGTTACTTGTATTTTTGACAGCCGTACATCTGTTTCTCATACTTATACTTTAACCCATTTTTATCCCATGTTCTTGAACCCATTTATTAAAGTTGTTTTCATTTCAACCTAAGATTTCATTTCTTTCCTTGTTTGCCATTGTCTCTGAAATTCCTGCAACCTTTTGGGAAGATAAATTGTTGCCAAAATGTTGATTTGTCATTGATGGAAGACTAACTTTTTTAAAAACAGGAAAACACTGTGTTTCCTTAAATAACACATATACATTCCTACTTTAGCTGTATTATCTCACATTTTTGTGAGGGTTTAAAACGTATTTTCCAGTTGTTTTTAAAATTTTTCCTGCAGGAATTGAGAGTGGTGCCCTGTTCGCACGAATTCCACCGTCACTGTGTGGATCCATGGCTCCTGTCTAACAGGACGTGCCCTTTATGCATGTATAACATAATCGGTAAGCAGCTGAAAATTCAGGTTTCCCAAACAACCACTCCTATTCCAGACATTTTAACCCAAAAAAAGGAGAGGAAAAAGTAAATTTTTTATTTGATTACTTCTGGTGACTCGATCAGTTGAGCACTCGCACTGAATCGGGCACACAATCTGGGCTGTGCCGACTTTTTTTCCCCTTCAGTCAAGCCAGGTGGCTGCCAGTATCTTGTCACCGAAGATTATGAAAAATATCAACAATCCAGTCACCAAAGCTAACAGAGTTGTGCAAATTGTTAACCCAGTTCCATAAACTTTTGCAACGTCGCAAAAAAATTGACCCTAGACAACCCCAGGTACATGTACAAGCAGCTGGACAATGGAAAGGATAAAAAAGGGGGTCGTGTGCAATTTTGTTGGGGTACACAGTTTTCACAATTTTGCCCTTTAAAAAGCTTGATATAACAAAACAGTTGTGTACCATGCAGACACAGTTCATGAATTTTTAATACCCCAAGGGACAAATGGCACTTTTGCTGGGGAGGGGGGGGTGTCGTCAACCTTAAATTGCAAAGAACACCTGAAAGTACACCCAAGCAGTCAATAATTGATAACCGTATAATAGGAACGTGCAAGAAGTTAGTCTTTTTGTATTATTATTATAATTTTTTTTCTTGGTAGCAGCATTCCCCAAAATTGCAAATTCCCAACGCCTCCTCTGTGCTTTTTCTTTTTGCCTCTGGCGTGGTGTCCACTGGGGTGGCTTGGAGCCTGTTCCAATTAATTTTCTTTTGTGTACAAAATCACTGTCGAGCGTCCCCGGGTACTAGACCGTGCCATCCTCCTTTTCACACAATTTGTAAATGGGTGCCAACGTCACGGCACACTGGTTCCCCTTAAGTGTTGTAAGTAACAAAGGAAGCCTTCATTGGGGGGGGGGGAGATTTAAAGCTCCCAAGCCTAACAAAATACCTGAAACTGGTACTTTTGTACTTTAAGCTCTTTTTCCATTTGTGTTTTTTACCGTTGAAATTGGCATGGGAAAAATCCATTTTATTTTTATCTTCTGTGTCATGTGATTGCCATCCATTAATCATGGATGAACACATTTCTTAACAACATTTAAATAAATATTGTCTTCACAGGGTTAAACTTTGGCACAGAGCTTACAATCTCTGTACCTTCAAGCTTGTCCAGTACGTGAAAAGTTTCATTCTGAAACTGATTATCAATTCAGCTGGATATCGCCCCCATTTCATGTTATTCCACATGTTGTCTGTCTGAATTGAAGCGAAAATACCGGCCCAACAAATTAGTGGCGATATTTAAAAGTGCTGTCCTGGGCATATTGTGAAGGTTGTTTTACATACGGTAGTTATGAAAAAAATTATTGATTGGAATTACAATGTAGGCAGCAAATTTCACAGAGGAAAGATTAACATCAGTGGATAGTGGATAGTAAAAGCACAATTTCCATTCCCCTTTTTGATGATGAAATTGCAGGAATTTAACAACATATTCCCGCCAGATTGCTCCTCAATTTATCAGTTGAACAAACATTCATTTGCATTTTGTTTGTGTTTAAATGAAACATTCACAGGCCAGGGAAATATCTGGCATTTTGCTTTAAACCAATCTTGCCTTCCAACTTGAAACTGACAAACAGTAAAATGAGAAACCTTCCAATTTTTGGCTGTACAGGTTGTGGACCTGAGCAACAATCAAGGCCAGCGTTACCTCCTGCCACAGCCAATTCCCCCACCCCTCTCAGAGTTAGCCTGCCAGGGACTCCCGCATCACCCGACTTCATGCCCGAGAGCTGGTCCTTTCCACCTACGACCTACAGCATCCCTTACACAGGCCTGAGAACTCACTCCTTTGGGTTGCGTGGCTGCCCCCGCGGAGCCAATCACTGCAAGAGGACCGGCCGCCGTTTCCACCGCAACTCGGTTGACGGTGCCCAGGTTGGTAATGTCCACGTTTTAGGGGACGCCCGAGACCTGAGGCGGACGAGTTGTGGTTCCCGGACGGAGAGTAGTGGACAGGGTGTTATAATGTTCCCGCGTGGGTGCGAGCAGTGTGGGAACATCTGCTCCCACTGCCAACGACAGCTGGCGGGAAACAGCTCCCGAGCTGGTCGTTGCCGTAGAGATGAGAGAAGGCGTCTCGGCCTGACATCATTCGAGAATCACTACATTGTGAATCTGTCGCCTGTTCAGGGTCGGGAAGCTGGGAACTACGACAATTTATGCAGCTTGAAATACCCAGGGAAACTCATGGCACATGACACAAGACATTACTGCGGTCATCTGGTGCCCGTCCGTGTCCACCTCGAGAATCTACCGCCGCCAGTCTCGGCAGCGTCCAACTGCAATGCCAGCAATCTCAGGGAGTTGTCGTCAGGGAGCAGTCTCAGCCTGTCGGCTTTCCATGCGGACTGCGAGTGCAGCGACAGCACGGTCAGCAGCCATGGCAATTTTGACAGCAATCAGAGCGTCTTCGGCAGCTCATCAACGTTCCGGAGTGAGCCCAGCACGACCGACGCCTATGCTTACGCGCATCCGGGACAAGTCGAGCAGCTCTTTGACTCGACAGAGGCAACCCAGCTAACTCCAACGTGTGTTCACAGGATGAACCAAGGGATACGACCAATCAGCATCTCAGACACTGACGAGGCCAAGAACAACAGTGACACGACAACAAGCGAAACGACCAACTTCTCTATGCAGGTGAATGTATCCCAGAAATCCTCAGTTCCATCAAATTCCAATGCAACAAGACACAAAAGTATACATCATCATTCAAAAACATCAAACAGAACTTCTACCAATGGAAGATGTTCCCATTCGCATAGTCACCATAAAGGACACCAGTCTAACAAAATGAAGGACTCCAAGAAAGCCGTTGCTAAGGCAAGGCCAATATGGCCGACGCAACCACCATCCAAACGGAAATCGCCTTGTCCATGTTGCTCAGGAAAAATAGTGTGGGAAACCTGCGTAAGGAACTTAGAAAATCCCGCAAAGAACTCTGAGAGGCCAGCGAGGTCGACTGAGAGGTCAAGGTCACCAGAAAGGTTGAGGTCTCCCGAGAGAGGAGCAAGGCACAGCAGGAGACAGGGTCGGGGGTCGTTACAGATGTACAGAGGTCATCTAAGGTTACCACTACAGTCGCTAGCAGCTCTCAAGAACGGACAAGGTAGGCCACGGCTTCCCACAGGTGTGCGCCTTACACTAAGGCATAGCCACTGATTCACACACAACGTTTATGTACTAGTACTTGTCCTGTGCATTTTATGCATCTCTGTCATATGACATCACTTCCTACAAATTACCACATGCATCGGCAGTTTTGGACAATCAAATTTTGGCCATGCCTTGTTTCGAAAATGTTTGGATCAACATGCACTAATACAGACCATTTGTTCACACTGCATGCACATACACGTTTGGATTTCGAATGCCCAGTTGTAATTTTCCGACAAAGATGTTGTCCTATGAGAGAGAGAGCTGTTGTGTCTTGGTATCTCGCTACTGCATATGCTGCATTCAAGAAAAGAAAAATATGTCTTTACATTCTGAATCAGCATTTTCATGGGCTTGAAAGGTGTTACTGAATCAAAAGAAACTAGCAACAATATTATCACAAAATTTACAAATATGAAAATTCAAAATTATGAAGTAAAATCTTTTTCATCAGCATAGGTCGGGCAAGGTGCTGATGGCAGTGGCATACTCAAGTGTTGGGCAGATTGTGCTTAGAAATTTCTGATGGATTTCCTCATTTTAATTTTGCAGCATACACCGTCAACTGTCATGAAATCCGTAATTGAAAAAGATCAGTTGTCATGGTGACGGAGGTATTGTTTGACTACGTGAGCGAAATGTTATCCGCGCAGCATCATTACTCTAATTAGTTCCTGTCCTGCTCTTGTCTTGTCCCATCAACAGGAGCCGTGGTTACAATTCCAGTTCACCATGGCAACCAGCAAGTTCTGGAGGAGATAGTTTAGATGGCAGACGACACCGAACACTCTGTAATATATTTTCTATTTTCATCAGAGCTGCTTCTCTCCAGAGCTGATCAATGTTGGAAGCGGCCGCCAGATGTTCAAAGCGGACACATTGCCTCCATCGATGCCTTTTTTTACGCATTTTACGATACTGATCAAAATGGCAATTACAGAGTACATGTATTTGCTCATCAGTTGCGTTATCCAAGAAGACGCCATAACTGCCGTTGGCACCACAATTATGGGCGTATTGCATGTGCGTACTTCTGTAAATTGTGAACACCTTTTTTGTTAAAGCATTTCAGGTGCGTAATGACCAACATGTAGGCCCAGTTTCACATAGCTGTTCAACAGTTAGCACAAAAGTCATGCTCACTATAACAGAAAAATTTGCTTACCGTAAGCACTATTCCATGGCAGGGCTTGGCCAGATTGTGCTTGCCGTTGCCAGCACAGAGATTTCCCTTGTTTTGTCACAATGTTAAGCAAATTGTTCCTCTGAAGTGGTTGTGCGATTTGCTGTGTGTACTGCGTATGGTCTCCATTAAATAACCAGAGCCTCTGTTATCATATTAAGATTGTGTGCTTAGCAGCACCGTTAAATTAGGCCCTCTTCGTGAGTGCGTATTGCTGCAGCCATGGCTTCAAGTTTGGTTGCTGACTTAGTCTTTGGTGTCATCTTTTATACTCTGTTAGCACTGTCCATGAGATATTTTCCCTATTGTCCTTGTGTTTTAGTACACCTTCGTAAAGTGCACTTTGATATGTATGAATCCAGGGGAGAAACGAGAACTTCAATACCTGTCAGAACTGGATTCATTAAACGCACATGTACAGTTGTTTACGGCATTGTTGTATCCCACAAAGTGTGTTTTGGTTTTTTTTTGGCCACAAAGTCTGTTGGATAGTAAAACCTTGTCACCGAGGCAGATTTTGGCCGGATTTTAGCATCATGCTGGCATGAAAATTCCATCGTTTTATTACCAGAAAGAGTGCTCGTTATACATGTGTCTGGCTGGTTGCACATTGCTTTCTCCAAATTTGTTTGAAAGAGTTGAAATTTGTCCGGATGCTTTGTGTGAAGATCAGTGACTCTTCACTCTCTTCAAAACTTTATTGTACTGTGGATGGTAGTGTATGACCCTGACCATGTGACACCCCTGACAAATTCTGAAATTCTCTTGTAAATCTATGCGAATAAGTTATTTACAGTGCACTTCTGTGGCCCTGCTGTGCCAAAATTACCTAAAATTCAATTGTTTTATATTAATTTAACTGAAGTAAACATGTAATCACTGATTGTTCTGTACTCATTAAAACGAAAGAAAATATATATTGCATTTTATTTTTATGCATATTTTATAAAGTACTATACTATTTAAATAATGTTGCGTGAGGCATTAAATTTAACTAGCATAACACTGTGAAGTATAAAAAGTCAATGTTTTAGTGTCAGACATATTTATTTGTGGAGTAAATAAACCAACAAACATTTATCTGGATATACAATGACAAGGCCTGTAAAATGCCCAAACTCCAAATACATGTCGTTCTTTATTTCAGTCACGCCCAGTCCTCCAAAATTATGGACGATTACAATTTTATTTTTTTGGCTCAAACAGTCCCAAAATATTTCACACTTTGAAGTCTCTCCTGAAGAATTAAAAATTGAAGTGATGTGTTCCACTTTTACAATCCATTCTCGAAAGTCCATAGTTCATTTTAGACAAGTGTACGTTCTCTTTTTTACAAGCTACTTGTACGTGCAGACAAATAAAATATTTGACATGCTAGTTTGAATTATCCTCCTGTCAACTGAGATGTAATAGGGGCATGCTTATTGTTGTTTAATCCTTCAAATGCCAGTGTTACATATTTGTGGCGTATTAATGAACAGTTTTAGAGACATAATATGAACAGGGTATACAACTGTCTCTTTTGTTAGAACGTACAGGGTATTACTCTGAATCACGGTGCATTTTTGGAGTCGAGTGTCAAATGCAGTAACTGTTAACGTGGAATAGTGCAGAGCTCTACAATAGAGGGTTTGCATGGTGGCCATCTTGCAGGTCAGTGTTTTTATTCCTCAGGGTATGCGCACAGGAGGTGTCCCTGTGGAACACAACAGCTGCCCTGCAAGATGGTGCCCACGCAAAGCCTCTGTATGATTTCCCCTCCTTCATTGTATTTGACAGCCACTTTCTCTGCCTTTTTTTAATCAGACATTGACCTCAGAATATCCCGTGATTATTCTTGATCAATTGCTCACTAAATCTAGCATGTACATGTGACGTATCTTGGACAGTGTTGTAGTTGAGACCATCACAAGACCATCCACAAGACCAGTCACAATTGACAGGGTGCACAGTGACAAAGGAATGCTTTTGTTGAAAGGAATGCTTTTGTTGCAGTTCATTTGAATAGCTTGTGACCTGAATTCAGACTGAAGATCTTATGTTGGTGATGTATTGGTCTTGTGACGGTCTT